CGTATGAATTTCTGGGTATTATAAACCTAATGTCTTCAGCAACCATTTTTAAGGATGCTTATATTGCAACTTTTGGTGTTATTTTTCATGTTTTTACCAGAGCTCATATTTTAATTTTTGTTGTTATTATCAGAATACCATTGGAAAATTTGTAAACTTAAGGAATCAGCACATATGCTAGGCCACAAAAATCATAGCACGTGGAACTAGAAAAATCACAGTCCGGTGGAATGAAATAATAAAGCCTCTAAGGCACAAAGGGTTACTGGGTGTAGAAGAATTAGGAACAGAAACATTAATAATGAGCAGAAAGAGAAAAGAGTAATCGGGAGAACAATAAATAGCGATTGACATTACATTTAAAGTTTTACAGATTAAAGTTGGCTGAAAAGCATGGAGCCGGAAAGGAGTTCCACAAATGAGAAGTACGAGAAAAAAAATTACGGCTACATCTATGCAGCTCAACTCTAAATTGATGGGATCTTGACGTCAGTCTAGTGCTGCGGTTAGATTCCTACAGACTGGGTACTATAATGACGAGTTCATCTGAACAATTACAATGAAAGCATTTATAAAAAAGGCACAGAAAGGCAATGTTATGGTGGTGGGACAGAAACCGAGCTGCCAGATTAGGACCAATAATATTGCTGATTCTTCTTTTGCTATTATCAAGGAGTCCCAGGTAACGGATCATATATGGCAGCAATATTCTAAGCATAGACGAATGGTAGACTTATACATATGCAAGATAGATTCTGGAGAGAAAAATTATCTAGTACGACACAGTGAACCAACTTTCCTATCAGCAGACCTAGCAATGGATTCAGTAGTCTTTTCACTTCATGTCAGCCGAGAACCTTAACCTGAAAGGTGCAAGGATTCATTCTCGTGGAGGTTAGCATCAGCCATGGTGATAGAAGTCTGAGAGGAGTCCCCCGGATTATTAATGGACAGATGTTTTGTTTTGGAGGCGTTAAAATTAACAAGTTATATTTTTGCCCCAGTTAACTATGGTCGTTAGATCGTTTTGTATATCAGTTGCCATTTTGACATTGTCGGACTGATCAGTCTCACTATTATTCGAGGCTTAAATGTTTTATCATTTTTTTTATTCATATTAATACTAAAACCTTTCAGGACGAAGGCGATTGTGCCTCTCTAGAGTATAGTTTTTTAAAACGTCAAATTTCTCAGCTATATAGCAATGCATGCTGGACCATCTTCTCATGAATGGAGAAAGAAACTTCAATGCTGAGAATCAACGTTTTTTAAGTAAAACAAGAACTACAAAGAAAATACTGCTAGCAAGAAAGATAAAACTGAAATCTATGGAAATCATAATAAGAAAAGAAAGCCTAGAGAATTTAATACGCTCAGGACATGTGTGAGTATACTACTAAAGAACTGTAATAAATGGATAGCAATTATAGGGACGAGATGGAAGATAAAAGGTTAAAGTGCTGGAAGTAATGGAAGGCCGTGTTCGTTATCACCCTGAAAGGTCATGACTTATACAAATAAGAAACTGTACACTGTCATTAAAAAAGACAGTCGACTGAGCTAAATTTGCCTTCTCCAACTTTTGTCAAAACGTCATCCATCTCTTAGGCTGGTTGCCAACCAAGGCGAGAGAGTTTAGTCTATTTAACCTACAGCTTAATGACAATGAGATGGACTCATGCTTTTCCTAAGGAGATCTAACTCGCCCGTCAGGATTTAATGTCGGCTCAATAATTTCATTTCCGCGCCGCTAGCTGTTAGGCCACACTCACCTCCTAAGCATCAAACTTATAGAACGTATAGTTATCTACGAAGAAGTAATTAAATGGGAACAACTCTGTAATTAACAGAAGTCTAGCTTTATTTAAAGTTAGCTTTACCCGTAATTTTGCTAATCCCTAATTAGCAGGAGTCGACTATAAAATGATTTTATGTAAATACAGTTTTTGAACAAGTGTGAAAAGTGTAAATCATTAAAAAGAAAAAGACAAAGAAAACAGAAAGTAATGATGCCCGTGAAATTTGAATAAATTAATGCTGGATTCTACTATCGTGAACGAGAATTGAGGGTCGGCACTGGATGGTGCCTTTCGGTTTACACTTACGCATGCTAGCAGCGGCAGTTGTGGAGAAAATCAGGTAAGGGAAAGACATTTAATTTCTGCTTTCTTAAGTGTGATACTAGTCCAGCCTTGCTGCGGGCGACAAAGTCACACTGACAGATGAAATTTGTTAAAGCAGGATTTTGATGGCGTCTCTGCTTCAGAGCTTGACGAAGCTGATTACGGTGCTCCATTCTAGTGTCTTCAAAACCTTTAACTTAATGAAACATATCTTATGCCACTTCTTTCGGTTTGATGCTTGGACTTCCCAGGTTTTCAGATCAAAGTTCAGATATTTCAAGTTGTCTTTCAATTTGTCTTTGTAGCGTAAGAGTTTGGTAGTTGTTCCATGCAGCACCTTTTTTGGAAGCCAAAAAATCTATTTTACTTTTTTCTTGTTTCTAGCCCTTTTGTTTAATGAATTTCTTGATGACCTTTCCGCCAAACTGTATGATCTACCATAAAAATTGGATAACTATTACTCTCATTGGTGTTGGAAAGCTAAACATTTGTCGAATGACATTTCCTGCCTGCCTTTCAATATGTAAGCTATCGTAAAGTTTATACAATTTGGACTTATATTTTTCCTTTCTTTAATTTCATTTTAAGTCTCTGACTTTATTTAAATTTAATTCTTTCATTTTAATTTTTTAATAACCCCCAATTTAAAGTATGTCTACCTCTCACTTTTCATCTGGTAGGGGTCATTGTGACTTATACTAAGTTAAAATTTAGTATAAACAAAACCGTCTTTATAGGCCTATGGTACCCGTCGAATACAGTACTAAATAATGAACGTCTTTAACTATGGATATATGAATATAATCTCCACTGGTCTTGCTCGACTGTCGTCCTAGAGCTGGTACCTTGAACGAAATTACCCTTTGACAGTCAAGGATAAAACGCAAAAAATTTATAAATCTCAATGAACAAATTTTCATACCGGATCCGCCGTCATCCGAGGCAACAAGAGTCTGGGGTTGAAAAATCTGTCACTGGACCAAACTCTTTCAACAACGAAGAGACGCTTGGTCCCCAAACCCGGACTATTCCCAACCTTGGACCAAGTGACTCAATACCAAATCTCAGTCCGGTGGAATAAAATAAGGCAGCAAAGCCACTAAGACACAGTTACTTGGTGTAGAAGAATTAGGAACAGAAACATTATTAATGAACAGAAATAGAAAAGAGTAATCAGGAGAACAATAAATAGCGATTGACATTACATTTAAAGTTTTACAGATTAAAGTTGGATGGAAAGCATGGAGCCGGAAAGGCGTTCCACAAGATAACTCTAACCCTAATCCTGCCGAAAGCGAACGAAATGGTCTTGTGAAGAGTATCAATGAGTCATGTCACCTTTTCTACAGCATTCGAAAAGCCAGTAAAGAACACCACGAATCAGACATACCAAATATGGAGAACTGTTGTAGGAAGTGAAATAAGACCTCATCTCAACCCAAACATGGTTGCCAATGTCCGCAGGGACATCGTGCCAAAAGACTCTGAAATGTAGAAATAGATGAGATAAAACTAGATATAAGTCAGAATATAATAACCCATCTCTCAAACAGTAAAGAGATGAGAATGGAAAAAATATAAAAGAGGATGTGGTAAAAACTAAAATAAACGAGATACGAAATAATAATTTCCCAGGAAGTAAACCGAGGACTCTACCTGTGACATAACCTGCATTTACCCAGACGATGTTACTGAAGATGAGTCAAACTTCATTAGGGCAGAATTCCTTGAAAACCACAGAGATGAAATCATCGAAGCGTAAAAGCACGTCATCCATGTACTCAGCAGAGTAAGTCTCACACAAATGTCAGGCAGAGACTCGCTCCCAAAAATTCATATGACGAAGTCCAATAAGCACATTGTGCAAATATAGAACGCTGTACTGGAAACACTGTTAACGAACAAACCACTGGGAAACATCACAGAAGTTAACAATGGCACATACGCAACAGCTTTTTCAGCTACAGTGAACCTTGGTGTCAAGACAATGAAAAGATTAAACAACAAAGAGAGCCAGCTTAGAAGGCAAAACTGGTGCGACAAATAAATGAAATCAGATGAGAGATTTCGATATTAGATGAGATCACTAAAAGCCTAAATATCGCAACACTCAAATGCAGGAAGATCAAGCGGAAATATAAAATTAAATCTCTAATTGAAATCCCATCAATCAAGGAAATGCTGAAACAGAAACTGCAGTCAAAGGCACAGAGAACAAGACGATACGTTAAAAGATGTTAGTTCTATCGTCAAAATAAAATATTCCAAACGGACCTTAAGAAATTTTACAGGGAAACTGGAAAAGCAGTTATACATGTCAAAAAGCTACAATCAATTGACAAAATGCAGAAATTTTGGGAGACTATTTAGAGCAGCCCAAAGGAATATAAACCCTAACGAATCCAGCGTGAAGAAAAACGAACGCTAGGTAAACCCCTACAAGTTTGAGGAAATATAACCACGAATAATGTTAGGCAAGCTCTAAAAAATCCTCCAAATGGAAATCCCCAGGAAATGAAAATGTGCCCAATTTCTGGCTCTATCATCTGTCATCAATCCATAAAACCCTTGCAAAAACTCTATCAATGCTTATTAATAATCCCAATGAGATGACAGAATTGATCACTGAGGGTATTACATACCTCATGCCAAGAACGAGAGAAATAAATGCATCATCACAAAGATGATGTTAAACAATTGTATTTGTACAGATCCGAAGGAGGCAGAGGATTATTTCAACTAGAATTGGCTTACAAAACTAAAACAATTGGCCTTCAAAGAGACCTGCAAACTACAGAAGATTGGATGATATGTGTCAATGAACATGAAAGTAGTTAGCGATTTTATTCAATAATAAAGCAGGCCAACAAGTACAAAATGGCGTTTCAAATCGGTAAAGAAATACTAGTAAAGCACAATATACCGACTCCAGCTAGAAAATACTTAAAAACGAAAGCAAAGGCAAATGCAACTGACCAGATACAGAAGCGATGGCAAGATAAACCGCTTCAGGCTCAGTACTCTGCTCGTACCAAACAAGTTGATGTAGACAAACCTCGTACTCATAATTGGCGACGTAGTGCAGGGTTAAAAACTGAAATGGAAGGTTTTAATTTTGCTACACAGGACCAATGCTTGCTATCTAGAAATTATCAAGCACACATGCTGAAAAATTGTGTTAGGCCTAAATACAGATTTTGTGATAAATATCCAGAAACAATTGATCATCTTATATCAAGTTGCGCGGTATTGGCACGCACAGAATATAAAACCCGGCATGACAGAGTGGACCAATATCTGCACTGGAAAAAATACAACTTCTCCGGCAAGGAAACTGAAAGAAACTGGTATGAACACCACCCAGACCCAGTTACGGAGATAGGACCTGTAACAATTTTATGGGACACAGAACAATCAAAGCTAATCGACCAGATATTGTGATTAGAGACTGCAAAGACAAAATATGCCTCTTTATTGACATGACAGTCTCTGCAGACTGCAATGTATCTTTGAAGATCTTAAAAAAACTATCGAAATACAAGGACCTTCAAATCGAAATCTCAAAAATGTGGTGCATGGGGACATTAATAATTCCAATTGTAGTTGGAGCCCTCGGATTGATTGGAAAAGATTCCAATAGACTCAGAGAAGAGATTCCTGGCAGCCCAGGCTTTAAAGAAATACAAAAATTGTCCTCACGAATACAGTCCCCACCTTACGAAAGGATTTATCTATGTAAAATATGATTATTTTTTTCAAAATTGTTTAGTGGAAAATGCCATGATGCTATTTCGAACCTTTGGTCTCCAAACAGAAATGAGTAAAACCAGAAATCAGCGGATATAAAATAATAATAATAATAATAATAATAATGGTGGTGGTTACTACGCAGAAATAATATTATTTTTAAATAGCATTATTTTTTAAATAATAATATTTTTTAAATAATAATATTATTTTTAAAAATACGTATTTTTTATGCAATAATAATAGTTTTTGTTTAACAGTATATCAACACTTTATGGGTTATTTAATACCAAAATTTAATTTTCTTGAGAGCATTATATATCTTTTCTTTTTACAAAAATGTATTGATAGTAACCATCTTTGTCGCCATATTTATTACAACGTTTCGGCCGTTGTACGCTCCGATCTTCTTCAGGTGGTTGGAATGTTGACCTGAACCCTTTATTTCGCTCGCGAAAGGACACATGGCACAGTGGATAAAGGCGTTAGTTAGATCCAGTGACAGGACCCAAAGAGTGTGAGTTCAATACCTGGTTAAGGCAGTGGAGAACTTAGAGAGGGGAATTAACAGGAGATAATTGATAACTGACATCCATTAGACATGGCACGTGGAACTAGAACAGTCTAAACCAGTGAGCGAAATAAAGCGTTCAGTTCAACAATCCAACTACCTGAAGAAGGCCGGAGCGTACAAGGGCCGAAACATTGTAATAAATATGGCGACAAAGATGAGGACAATAGTCCGAATAATGTAAATAGTGTACATGATACCTCATCTCAGAAATATAGACAGATACTGTATTCATGGTAAGTTTTTTTATTTTTTTTTTTCAGAAACGTACTGCTGGTATTTTTTTTACCATAAAAATGTATTACTGTTATTTTCGCTGCAAAAATGTATCTCTATACTTTCATTGTGTTTTGATTCCAGTTTGAGGGGATCACTATTTACCCATAGCTGGGACACTAACAGATGCTACCACCCCAGCAGTACTACATTTTTGGTCTGATCTGGCGCTTGCAAAGTTGGAGTATGGCAGTAGGATTCGGGTGCTTTCTGAAACGGTACCGAGAACCGATTATTTTTCCAGCATCTCTCTCTCTCTCTCTCTCTCTGTCTCTCTCTCTGTCTGTCTCTCTCTCTGTCTGTCTCTCTGTCTCTCTCTCTCTCTATCTATCTATCTATCTATCTATTCATCTCTGTGTCTGTCTGTCTGTCTGTCTGTCTGTCTCTCTCTCTCTCTCTCTCTCTCTATATATATATATATATATATATATATGTATATATATATATATATATATATATATATATATATATATATATATATACTAGTTCTAATCGCATAATTATCCATCGCACAAAATGTTTAATATCTAAAAAAAAAAAAACACTCAACTGCCTCAAAGCCTTTGAGTAATTCAGATAAAAAGAGAACAGGTTAAAATCGTTTTGTATCAGACCCACCGTTTTCCCAACTGAGTAATGGTGAGAGGAAAAAGATCATCCAGACCTTTAGTAAAGGTACCAACATGCATACACTAGCTTCCATCTTCAAAATAGATTCAAGAACTATCAAAAGAACGGTGAATAAGTTTTCAAAAATAGTGAACAGTAGAGAAATAAACTAGATCACAAGGTCACAACAGGAAGAGTGATCATCATTTCAAATTAGAGCTAAAGAGATCAATTAGAAAAGATCCAAAACAGTCCACTTTAAGGTTCCATTATAATAATTTATTTCACCAGAGCCCTTTTAAAGGACTCCAGATCATCAGATAGCACTTACAAAAACGAAACGAAAAATGAAATGAAAATTGATGGCTAGTGTAAGTTTTTGTAACTCTGGATTTACATTGAGCTCTCAGGATTTCATCCCTCTTGGGATTACCCATACGGATTACCAAGTTTTTCATAACTTATATATATATATATATATATATATATATATATATATATATATATATATATATTTAGTTAGTTGGGTTGATATGAGTTTGTAATCCTGGGTTTCACGCAAATGACGATCGCAAATAGCGTGAAACCCCGGGTCAGAAACTCACATCAGCGCAACTAAATGTTAGCTCTATCTCTGATATTGAGCGCTTTCTAATAAGTACCGCGCAGCGCATATATAATATATAAATAATATATATAATAAATTACACTTAAGGAAGTACGAAGACAGAAGATAACGTTTGACATTCCATTTAAATTTTTGATGATCAAAGTTGACTTGAAAGCAAGAAGCCGGAAGGAAATTTCACAAGCAAGAACTGCTGTAGAAGAAACTGTTAAGATAGGACGGTTGCATCGAATAATATCAAATGGAAAATAATGAGACCTTGCCGCCAATGTAGCACTGCGCTTAAATTCATAAACACAAGGTACGACAAAGATAAGTTCATCAGAACAATTACCGTAAAACTATTTATAGAAAAGACACACAAGATTGGCGATGCGAAAGTGATGAAAGTTGTGATGCCAGATCAGGGCCAATAATATTGCACATTCTTTGTATTTTATCGATCTCTTTCTCTCTCTCTCTCTCTCTCTCTCTCTCTCTCTCTCTCTCTCTCTCTCAATATATATAAGAACACCGGATTATATATCTTACTGTTCTTTCTTTTTATTATAATATATATATATATATATATGTGTGTGTGTGTGTGTGTAAATATATAGAAAATAGGAAAAAACACATTAAGCAAATAAGTTCTTTAGTATTTTTGTTTTTATTTTTAAAAAACAGTGCTCGATACAGAAGTAGAGCCTAAATTATAAATATTTTTTTTTTATAATTATTTTTTTTAAATATTTTTTTTAAATATTTTTTTTAAATATTTTATAATTAGTTTTTGAAAATAAAAGAAAAAAATACTAAAGAACTTCGGATAATTTCCTTAACAAGTTCTTTCCTATTTTCTAGCGAAGGAATCATATCTTTTAATATATATATATATATATATATATATATATATATATATATATATATATATAAAAGCGTTAAATATTCATCATATTGTCAGTTATAAATTTATAATCTCTATTACCTACGGATTTGATATATATATATATATATATATATATATATATATATATATATATATATATATATATATATATATATATAGGCATAGACACCTGTGCATAATTTTTTATTTTGTTCGATTGAGCTATCTCGGACTAGTTAATAATGTTAACTATTATTACTAATATAAAGCTGTGTACAAGTTCTTTTGTGCTTTGAAGGAAACTGCTGGCGAGGAAAACGAGAACTAGAGAGTGATCTACACCGCTTTCTATTAGTATCAATAGTTAACATTATTATCTCATCATTTATATATATATATATGTATATATATGAAATTTTTCAAAGGTTGTTTTTAGTGCATACGGCTAATTGATTAGACGCTACGCTTATTCGAAACAGTATTTATTTTGTCTACAGGCAAGTACTCAATACTCCAGAAATTTTAATAACGGGAATATGCCTCCGGTAAGGTTCGAACCTACGGGCAAGTGGACTGGTAGACGAAATTAATACTGTTTAACACAAACTCAAATATGCGTATTCCCATGAAATAACAGTTGAAGTATTAAAGATATATTAGATTAAAAAATAAAAATCCATTAGTTATTCTTTCTCACACACACACATAAATATACATAACACTGAACACCTGAAGATTGCGTTTGGCAAGAAACTCCGAGTTGTGTGAACGGTGAAGGATATATATATATATATATATATATATATATATATATATATATATATATATATATATATATATATATATATACATTATTGCTCTGTTATATAACATCTCGAAAAGTTACAGCAACACCAGTATTTTATATGCAATTCATATATGTATATATATATATATATATATATATATATATATATATATATATATATATTAGAAAAATAATATAAGGAACATTTTACATATATATAATGTTCGTTATATTTTTTCTTTATGACAGTGATATGCAGCAAGTATAAATAAAAGAATATTGCTAATAAATATTATTCAAATATAGTATATGTTTGGTTGATTTGCATTTAAAATCATTAAATATTCGATTACTATATTTTATTTAACAAAATGAGTCAGTGATAATATTGCTGACACGTCAATGCTTTACATTCGTAATGAACAGACGTCAAGGCTCAGCTGATAAAGCCAACTCCGTTTGCTAATCAGGATCAGCTTAACACAGGTACAAACGCAGCCTTGCAACAACTATTACTACCGCGACTACAATTAATATAATTTACTCTATGACTTTGCCAAATAATTCATCCAATAACAACCGAAGCGGGATTCTAAGGAACAAAACTATTCTTGCATTTATTAATATAATTTAAATAAATATATATATTTAGTTGTACTCAGAGTTTAGCTACAATAGAAGTCTCAAGAAATACGCGGTCGGTTCGTTAAAAAAATTTATATTCAAGTGGTATCATGGGCTATTATTGCTTGTCGTACAGTAGATGAGGTCAAAGAAAACTGAGGTCCGTGAAATGCACCCGATCTCTCTAAGAATCTAATTCTTTGTGAGTCGAAAAGAAGTGCTGGCTAGAGTTAACAAAAATGAAGGATTTTTTTTACATATGGTTAATTTTGTCAAATCCTTAAACGGAATGAAACTAAATACGATTACATTTCTTCATTTTTTTTTTTTTTTTTCTAAACCGCTTTGAAATACGAGAAGAAAATAGAAGTGAACGGGATTTACATTTCTTTCTTGCTTTCCTTCCTTCCTTCCTTCCTTCCTTCCTTCCTTCCTTCCTTCCTTCTCTCTCGCTCTCTCGTTCTCTCTCTCTCTCTCTCTCTCTCTCTCTCTCTCTCTCTCTCTCTCCATTTCTTTCTTTATTCTCCTCTATTTCTTTCAATTCCTTTGCCCCTTTTCGTTCTGTTTCTTTTTTTCTATTCGTCTCTTCTGCTTTCTTTCTAACTCGTTTCAATTTTCTTTCTTTCTTTCTTTCTTTCTTTCGTTCGTTCGTTCTGTCTTTTTTCTTTCTTTCTTTCTTTCTTTCTTTCGTTCGTTCTGTCTTTTTTCTTTCTTTCTTTCTTTCTTTCTTTCTTTCGTTCGTTCGTTCTGTCATTTTTCTTTCTTTCTTTCTTTCGTTCATTCGTTCGTTCGTTCTGTCTTTTTTCTTTCTTTCTTTCTTTCTTTCTTTCTTTCGTTCGTTCTGTCTTTTTTCTTTCTTTCTTTCGTTCGTTCGTTCGTTCTGTCTTTTTTCTTTCTTTCTTTCTTTCTTTCTTTCTTTCTTTCGTTCGTTCGTTCTGTCTTTTTTCTTTCTTTCTTTCTTTCTTTCTTTCGTTCGTTCGTTCTGTCTTTTTTCTTTCTTTCTTTCTTTCTTTCTTTCGTTCGTTCGTTTTTTTTTTCTTCTTTCTTTCTTTCTTTCTTTCTTTTCTTTCGTTCGTTCGTTCGTTCTGTCTTTTTTCTTTCTTTCTTTCTTTCGTTCGTTCGTTCTGTCATTTTTCTTTCTTTCTTTCTTTCTTTTTTTCTTTCTTTCTTTCTTTCTTTCGTTCGTTCTGTCTTTTTTCTTTCTTTCTTTCTTTCTTTTTTTCGTTCGTTCGTTCGTTCGTTCGTTCTGTCTTTTTTCTTTCTTTTTTCTTTCTTTCTTTCTTTCTTTCTTTCTTTCGTTCGTTCGTTCTGTCTTTTTTCTTTCTTTCTTTCTTTCTTTCTTTCTTTCGTTCGTTCTGTCTATTTCTTTCTTTCTTTCTTTCTTTCTTTCTTTCTTTCGTTCGTTCTTTCTTTCTTTCTTTCTTTCTTTCGCTGTCTCTTTCTTTATTCTTTCTCCCTCTTTTGCTTGTTTTTTGTCTGTTTCCATTTTTCGTTGTGTCTATTTTTTACTTCCCCCCTTCTCTCTCTCCCTCTCTTCCTCTCACTCACTCCCTCACATTTGTCTTTCTTTCTTTTTTCTTTTTTTAGTTCGCACTTTCTCTTAATTTCATCACTTTCCTCTTATTTGTCTCCTTCCTTTTCTGTCTTCCTTCATTTACTTCTTTCTTTTAACTTCTCGATTTTCTTTTTCACTTTTTCTAATTTTCTCTTTCTTTCTTTTCTACGCTCTTTCTCTTTATTTTTTAGGTACTTGTGGGGAAATAAATACAATCACTGGCTGATGTAATGTACGCGTACATACACACACACACACATATATATATATATATATATATATATATATATATATATATATATATATATATATATATATATATATATATATAGAGAGAGAGAGAGAGAGAGAAGTGCTCAATATCAGGGATACACCGTATGTAAATATAAAAGTGTACATAAACACCCAGCGGCGTCACGCAATTATTCATCAAGTCAATATATATATATATATATATATATATATATATATATAGTCTTAAGGTGTGCTATATTTATGGGATGAAGTGCTTAATATCAGAGATAAAGCGTGTGTAAATATAAAAGTGAACATTGAAGTCAACACTTTGAGGCAACAGGCTGTCGCCTCTGAGTGTTGCCTTCAATATTCACTTCTATATATATATATATATATATGTGTGTGTGTGTGTGTGTGTATGTATATATTATCAATGCATAACTGCGACTGACATAAGGCTACTTATAGGAAGCAC